GAGAAAAAGACGCCCTAACTCCTCCTCTTTCGATTGGTGAAAGCTACAGGTCTCTAGCTGTTTGCGTTCTCGAGTTATTCAAAAAACAGTCACACGCACGGACTTTTTGGACGGGCTATACTTTATTGCATCATGAAATCAATTATCAATAGATGAGTTCAACTATCAGACAAGACCATCATTTTTATTTAAAAAAGTTTTCATACATGTGTCAGAAAATAATCTATTTAACCAGAAAAAATGCACCAAATAGTATTTCATCAGGATCATTTGGATTCATAACCGACATTAACCTGGAAAAAAGAAAAATACATAGATTTTGATTAAAGAAAAAAGTAATACTTACGAAATTTGAATTTCTTCGGATTTTGATCAATTCTTTTACCAATTCTTTAATTTGCACCATGTCATCTTCTGCCACGAACTTTTGTCCAATTTCCTGGATCGAGTTGAAAAGTGTTGGTGAATGCCGAATAAAACGTAAAAATTCGTATAAATGCTCTTGGTGCATAGAAAGCTCAATTTGAGCTTGATACTGAAATTGACGCACAGCTAGAACATAAAATAGATAATAATTTTACATCTATTTCCGTTAGAAAACAGCTACTCATATGTGAAAGCTTCTTTAATAGCGTAAGAATTGGAAATATCTGATGTTTTTACATGAAGAATCATAACTTATCAAGACTATTTTACCAATACTGATCGTATATCGCATAAAACGAATGTAAAAAGTTAAAATAATTTCGTCTGAAAAGATAAACTAGAAATTTTATATAAAGTTTATTCAACTGCATTCCACACGAACAAAATCAATATTTATTTGAACGACATGAATATTCTCACCATTCTCATTTTGTTTTAGTATAAAACTGTGTATGAAATTAATATCTGACTCTTTTTTTTCGTTAAAGTATTTCTAAACATTGTGAATTAACTATGAACTTCGGAGGTCGCTCGTATTCTAGAAAGTCATCGAAGAGAAGATTCATAATAAAAACTGTTTTGTTCTATACCCTGAAGTCAAAATTTAATTATTGCCTGATACAAAAGTGATCACGTACTTGAATCGTCTTAACTCTTAAAAGTCGAAGGTCTCTTTCAAAGGATATTGCTATAGCTGCTATAGCAAACATAAAAATGGATTTGCGCAAAAACTAATATTTTCATATATTCTGATGGTCTGATAAGTCGTAGAAGGAAAAAATTATTCAGAACTGAATGCCAGAAAGTACTGTAGATTTTTTGAAAATCGTAAATTTTTGTTTTTCTGGGCTATATCATTAAGCAGAATGTTAGACTATTTGATAAAACCATCCTGTAAATTTGTAAGTCAGCTACTAGTGAATTATTATCTCGTAAAGAAAATGTTCTTTGAAAGAGATATTCAATCTTAACGGGTCGAAGTATCCTGATAACATGCATAGCCTAAGACTGATGGCATAGAGGTTGAATTCTATGAAGTACATGAGACCTGAGCACATATGATCTACGCCCACAGCCTCTCTCACGAAACTTTAATCTTCTTCCATTCGAAAGCTATAGATGGAACACGAAGGAGAAAGGCTATGGACGTAGATCGTACGTGTCCCGGTCTCATGTACTTCATAGAATGCAACATCTATGCCATCTTCTTACAATATCACAATTTTTTTTCGAAAATCAGCGATCTATCATTTGATTATTATTCGAGACCATTGAGTAATACATGGAACTATGCAGTGACACGTCCACTTTTGAACGGTGAAAACCTCAGGTCTCTATATTGTTCCTATTAAAAGTTATTCGCAAAAAAAGAGTGCCGGATAACTTTTTGATCACACTGTATTAAGAAGTATCACAAAGGGAAAGTTAAGGAGAACTATTCCTTCTCTGTAATCGTCAAAAGCTTTTGATGATTCTCAGATTCTTTCTCGTGCTGGTAATGAAAAAATTGACTATGTTACAATCCTGAATCCTTCGTGATAGTCCTGATTCTTCTATCGTAGAGCGTTAAATAACTACTTTGCCGGCTCAGTTAGACTATTAACTCAATGATGAGGTGATCATATTGACTACGTGGCATTAGGATGATTGCCTAAGTAAACATTATATTGAAATAGAAAGTATCTGAATGTTGAAAAAGTAAACAATATTGCTTCACTCGGGTCCTTATGAGATAAAAAATCAATAAACTTAATCCTAACAGGAAATCCTTTTTTACATAAATGTATCTTGATAATATCATGAGCATACTGAGGGTCAAGAATTACTATTTTTGTGATTGATTTTCTTCTTATTCTAAAAGACTCCTTTTCGGTTTTTAAGAGTTAAAATAGAGTTGATTGAGTGGAATAAATTTTGACAACAAATATTGTTATCATCAGCGTATTATGTGAATATCGACAAACGAGCTTTGAACAATTAAATTTTAGTCATTACATACATTGGCTTTCGTATGTTAATAATTTTCCTATGAGTAGATACTTCTGTATTTGACTAATACTTTTTTGTACAACAAATTTTATTGTTGATAAAAATCAGCTTATTTAAATATTTCCAGATACAATCATTTGCAAAACATATAAAAGCTCTCTAATGTAAGAATCCGAATGTATCAATCAAAACAATATCCAGTATAGGCTTACAGCCATCATTCAAAATCTTCTTCCAAAGATCAATATTATAGTACACGTTATAATGCGAAGTATTCTATTTAAGTGCGAAATTGTAAGAGGCAATGTCTTCAAGAATTAAAAATTAGATTAAATTTAAACAATACGAAAGTTCGAGGGTTTTGATTCTATGATAGAAATCTGGTTTTACTTTTCAGTAAAGTATAGGGAACATATGTTTTTTTTCTAGACTATTGTGAATGCAACGAAGACTCTTTATATATGAACTCCTGTCGATAGAATCCTGAAAAAAATATTATTTCAAACTTAATACTGTCAATTATACTTTTTCAAATTCATAAATTTATGCAGCTACTATAGATAGACAGTTGATTGTTCTTTTCTTTTATACTATTGATTAATAATCTGAAGTAGTTTAAAGTCTAGGCAGATTTTTAGAAATAATCGTAGCCTTACCAACTAAACAAAGATCTATTAAGGAAATTGATCTCAGCGATAACGGCAGCATAAATCCATCAATACAAGAGGAAGGCTAAGTTTTATTTAATTCATATCACAGTAGCATTACTTTTATTGGAGTAACTGTAATATTGACGTATATACGTGTTAGCATTTTTCTCTCAAGAAAGTTAAACAAATCGTAATGAGTATTGTCATAGTCGTTATTTCTACTCGTTCTCTCAGAATACGATCACGCGATACGTAAAAACTAAACCAACATGATAAAGTCGTTCACTCTCAAAAATAGACAAGTCTATCTAATGAAGGCCCAGATGAAAAAGAATGATAAAGCAAATGCCAGAAAAGAGTAAACTGAAAAAAGATTGACTAGTAACTTAGTTAGTATAAATGTAATACTAATCTGAATTAAACTTTAGATTCTGACTGAGATTGCTTATTGATGTCTGACGATTTTTAAACGACGATTCTATTTATAATCATTTTGAAATTTTCCTACTTCTATTAAGTTTAAATTTTTCAAAAAATTATTTTTGACTCTTCATTTTTTGTTTCACTAAGAAGAACATATACATACCTGTTACACCATTGAGATGTAAATATTTCTCACAAAAGTAATCCAAACGACCAATTGTGACTCGTTGGAAATCAGCTCTATCACTTGCCGATGAGACAGATGACGGATAAAGCTGTTCGAGTAATGGGGGGTAATAATCTTCATCAGAAGAAAATGACCATTCAATATCATTCGCTTAATGTTAAATAGAGATTATTAGAATATTCAAAATCAATGGAAAACACTTACGATCATGATTGTTACATTTTTTACCCTAAAATATATAAATATAGTATAAAGAAGACATGTATTTTCTCTATTATAGACTAATTATTCGAGTTAAGATTTATATCTTTTCTTTATAATTTTTTAAAATATTTCAAGACTATAAAACTGAATGAGAAGATGAGAAGTAAATGAGTTTATTATTTTTCGATGCTACCACTATGCTTTTGGTTAAGAACTTTTTATAAAGAAGAGTCGAGAATATTCGGAAAGTGTAACAAACGGTAACCATTTTGAGATTCTCATTCTAAGATAATTTACATATAATCTTATAAGGTTAACTAAAAAAAGATTCATATTTGCCTATGATGAAAAGTTGAATTTTCATAAGATAATCATTCTATATTGTTTTATCAATTGTTTGAAACTGCTTCGTACCCGGTGAAATTTCTCAAAATTACATAATTTTTCTCTCATGGTTTTTGGATATATTCATATATTGAATAATTATCTAATAATCTATAGTATAGATTAATACAAACGTAAAGTCATCAATAACCAGACATGAAGAGGGCGGTTACAGGTACATTTTCAATGAAGCTACGATGCAAATCAGGATTAAAAACCTTTTTCCAGGATAATATTGAGAACGCGAATTAATCAGGTGTTTTGTTCATTATTAAGAAACTCTACGACAGTAATGAAGAAAATCTTACGTATTCATCAAAGGCTATCAACGTAATTTCTCATGGATTAAGATGTTAAATAAGCTGCAGCCACGTTAATTTGAACGTGAGGTATTCCATATGAATTAAGTCAGACGAAAACTTTTAACATATTTAGTAAGAACTTTGAGTATGCGAATTGAAATATCTCACTATATACTTCAACACTTATCGCAGTCGTGCTTCACAAAATATATGGATACACATGGTTCACAAAAAGTGTAAAATTTCTTTATTAGATTCAGCATGCGATGAAGACTATTATTTAACATATGAATCATTTGAGAATAGAGAATAAAAATGAGAGAACATTATGCATTTTTAAGTCCAGAGTAAATCCAATATAATATATATATTTCAAACAAAACGTTTTACGATAATCATTTGATTTATCTAACTCATATACTAGTAGAAAAGCTAATTCTTGTTAAAAACATCAGATAATGATTAGTAGTAAGCCAAGGTAAATGTAAAAACTATCAATTTTTCATGTTAAAGCAGTCGATAAAAGTATGCTGAACTGGCAGTTTTCTGGCGTAGAGAACGAAATGTTCTTCATATCACAATCAAATGAAAAACTAGGCAATGATTTTCGACGGCCTTTTTTTTTCAAATCCGTATCATTTCTCAAACTGAAATATGAATGATTAGCTTATTGATTTTAGTTTGAAGACTTAATCATTTTTACATCGAAGCGCTTTCATGGATATTATTAAATTACAGACTTTTCAAATCATTTTCTAGAACACTTCATTCGCCTGTCATAATAGTTTTAAAAAAAAACTATATTTTCTAAATAAAACAGAATCACTTTTAAGGATAATGAACGTCATCTAAATACTGGCACTTGACTGTTACGAAGAATTTAATTTAGATTAACACAAATATTTTCAAGAAAGGAGAATCTCATAGTATCGCTTGCAAAAGATTTAACATGAATTACTTAATACAATATCGTAAATGATAGTGTTACAAACTCTAAAATACTTTTTCGGAAGATACTATGAAAAATTACTCATGATAAAAATTACCATGAGAACATAAATTTTATCAATGTTGATATTATGTGTTCGTTAAAATTTTCATCAATGGAACATTAGTGAGCATAAATATTTTGCAAAAGAAAATTGACTCAAATCAGTGTTATACATAAGGTTATGATATAATGTTTTAGATAGATAGTCTATTCGATTTTATTAAATAATGTTAACCTGATTTCAAAATTTCAACCTAAACAAAATTTTCTCATTTAATTTGCTTGAAATATTGTATTCTAAAAATACTATTCGCTAAACTTTTTAGATAGCAATGCATTATATATATGCAAGATAAATACTACTCTCGATGAAGAAAAAAAAATATATCCTCCGAAAACAAGTAAAGAAAATGGTTTCACTCACTAGAAGAATTCCATTATTTCTTTCGTTACTTTTAAAAATTCACTCAACTGTTGTTCTCACCGAGGAGATGTTTTCAAATACTAAATAGAAAGTAATTTGTCAGACTCACTCCTACTCGTGTCAACCCTAAGCATAACGAAATACTGCCTTCATTTTCTCGAAAACAGAAAATTTTCTAGAATGAACCGATTTTCATCTCTTGACTAGATTACTAAATTTAAGGCAAAACTTCATTCCAAAATATTTCAATAATCCATAATCATTGGAAAGTTATCTACGGAAGGTTGAAAAGTCGAAAATTATCTCATTTCAAATTTGATTTTAGTATCTTATATCAGTTACTTTTTTTTATATTCATTCATTGGAACTTCACTTCTAACTGAAATCAAACACTGATATTGTGCTTTAAACTAAGTTAGATTTACATCAGAACAATCGGCGTCACTACCTCGCAAATTCTTGTTGTATCCCGAGAATAATAATAAACTAAGAAACAAAGTATATCTCGGACGTAATTGGACATCTACTGCTTCTGTTTTTACTTGTGAACATTCTAGATTCGCTACTGCTTGAAATTTATGTACTAAAAACCATAAGAACACATACCTGTTCGTTTTTTATTAGGAGCTAATGTTTTTTCAATAATTTTATAGTCGATATTGCGCTGTTGTTCAATTTCTTTCCCAGGTTTCCATTGTTAGGATCAACAACGTAATAATTGATACTGGTTGATTGAATACGTGAAACAACAGATCGACCCATTTCAAGAATTTCTGTCGTTGTCATACTTGTCAGTAGTGCTTGATTTACAATTTTCAAATCTTGGCATAAAAATTTCGCAAAATCGGTAGTATAATTTGCTTCCACGTACGAAAAGAATTCTTTTGGACTCATAGTATATCTAATGTGAAAAGAAAACGATAATTACGGTTACTGTAATGCACAAAAGTTACTGAAATGCATTACAAACAAAGAGCAAACCACCAAATGAAGAATGTAGTTGTGATGTTAATAAGGTTGAAAATATAATTTACAAATTTGATGAATAACTTCACTGATCAATATTCTGACACATATGGATATATATTCATTAACACATACCTAGTAGTCGTCTTTTATTCTTTTTTCTTCCGTTATTCAATAAGAACGAAGAATGAGAGAGGACGCTCTAACTTCAACTGTTATATATTCATAAAAATACATCCGTTAAAGTCTTTCCTCATAAACAGAAAAGATGGTCTACAGACAAATCGAGAAAAAACATTAAATCAATATCAGATGGCGAATATATTTATGCACTTAGTGGCACTAATGTCTGAAAACTCCGATCACTTTTTCAGAGGGACTACTTTATATCAAGTTGTAGCTTGACAAAAGACAAATCTTCTCATGAAGTCAGATTTTTCGGCCTATTTTTTTTCTCGAGAAAATTATTGGTTAAGTAGACTAATACTGAGCAATGAAACTCGACGACCAATAAGAATACGGTATAATGGTAATATTATTTTATATCTGTTTGGATTCAATAGATTGTATCTAGTACGTACCCTCACCCGAAAAAAGTCATCAAAATCGAGTTTTTACAGCCTCAAATTGATT